AACACTCCCTGGCACTTACTGTGTGATACTTACTCTAAAAACATCTGGTGTTTAGTCTACAAATATTAATACAGAAGTGAGAAACAGCTGAAAGACACATAGTGCCTCATTCATATAGCAGAAAAAGAACACGTTTAAGGGTCCCGTTTGGGTTTTTTTGAACAGAAGAAGTTTTGCTGCATTCAACAAGACAGACAACTACTCTTTACACAACCTCTGCATTCCCTGGGACCTCTTCTAGTGATGATTATCAAGACTTGTCCTGGTTTCAGCTGGGAAAGAGTAAATTTTCTTTCTAGTGATTGCTGTGAAAAGAATGTCAATAATACCTATTGGGTTTAGTTGTTGCTAAGTGATATTTACACCATTCAAGGACTTTTTTCAGCTTCCCATAGAAGAATAGAAAGAATGATGTAATGGCCAATGAAATATTTCATACCATAGATGTCATGCTCAGTATATAAATGGGGGTTAGCCAGGGAGGTGGGAATCAGTGATCACTGCTTGGGGATAGTGTCAATTCACTGAATGACCCATGTTATCATCATTATTATTATTATTGTTATTTTTCCTTTTCTGTTATTGTTTCTATTAAACTGTATTTATCCCAATACATGAACTTGTTTTCCTCCCTTTCCCCTCCTTTTTTTCCTCTTCCCTCCCACCTCTCTTGGAGGGGAAAAAGGGAGGGATGAATGAACGGCTGCATGGTTCTAGTTGCTGGCTGGGGTTAAACCACGAGAAGACTGTAATTTGCTATTTGAGCATGTGAACTCCTGCAATTATTAGCTCCTGTTTGTAAATAAATACCAGGATTATAATATCTAATTATAGAATCACGTAATAGTTAAGGTTGGAGGGGACTTCTGAAGAACATCTAAAACTACCCCCTTGAAGCAGGGTTAACTACAGGACGTTGCTCAGGGCAAGTTGGCGTTTTGAGTATCTCCACATACGGAGATTCCAAAACCTCCTTGGGCAACCTATTCCTGTGTCTGATCACCCCTGTAGTTAATAAATAAATAAATAAATAGCTTTTAAACATATGTTACTTTATCTCATTTTGCGCCCACTGCCTCTTGTCTGTTCACTGGACACCACTGAGAAGAGCCTGGCTCCTTATTCTTTAGTCCCTCACACCAGGTATTTAAACACATTGATAAGATCCCTCTGAGCCTTCTCTGCTCCAGGCTGAACAGCCCCAGCTCTCTCAGCCTTTCCTCACAGCTGAGATGCTCCAGTCCCTTAATCATCTTCATGGCCCTTCACCACACTCTCACCATTGCAGCTATCTCTCTCTTGTCCTGGGGAGACCGGGCCTGGACACAGTACCCCAGATGTGTCTTACCAGCACTGAGCAGAGGAAAAGGATCACTTCATTGACCTGCTGGAAACACTGCTCCCAGTGCAGCCCAAGATACCATCAGTCTTCATTGCAGCAAGGGCTCACTGCTGGCTCATATTCAACTTGGGTGTCCCCCAGGACTCCCAGGTCCTTTTCTGCCAAGCTGATTTCCAGCCAGCTGGCCCCCAACAGGTATTGGTGTATGCAGTTGTTCCTCCCAGGCGCAGGACCTTGCACTTCTCTTTGTTGAACTTCACAAGATTCCTCCTGGCCTGCTTCTCCTGCCTGTCAAGGTCCCTCTGGATGACAGCACACCCATCCCGTCTATCAGCCACTCCTCCCAGCTTTGTGTCATGTGCAAACGTGCTGAAGGTGCTACTGCTCCATCCTTCAGGTCATTAATGAAGAGGTTAAACAGTATTGGTCACAATATCAACCTCTGAGGTGCAATGCTAATGACTGGCCTCCAACTGGACATCCTGCTGCTGATCACAACCATCTGAACCTAGCAGTTCAGCCAGATTTCAATCCACCTCACTGTCCACTTATCTTGTCCATACTTCATCAGTCTATAAGGATGTTATGGGAGATATATATATTCTTGCTTTACTTGAGATAAACAATATCCTCAGCTCTCACCTTGTCCACCAAGGCAGTCATTTCCTCATAGAAGACTATTAGGTTTGTTAAGCATCATTTACCCTTCATAAAACCATGTTGATTACTCCCAATCACCTTCTTCATTACGAGCTGATTTTCTTTTCTGCCTATCAAGTAGTTTATGTGCCATCTCCAGTCAGAGGTTACCTTCCTGTGATTCAGATTTGGCTCTCTAAGGACATTCTAGATGGCAAAAGTGAGAAAAGTTGATCCAAATAAATAGAAACTGTGAATGTGAAGTCAGTTCAACCCTTGTGTGTTTTAATTGAATGTGGGACATCGACTTAACAGAGTCAAGGCATCACATAACCACGTAGTAGGGATGCATAACAGAAATACTGTGATGAGTATGAAAGAAGTATGAATGGAAGTGTCTGCATGCAAAAGCACCAGAAGAAACGATACAGAGAAAGGGTTACAAGAACAACATGTATTGATAAGCAAGGACATGCGTGACAATCATCAAACTGGCAAATGATGAGAAATACATTGCTACATCTAGACCAGAAGACCAGCACTCTGGTGACGCCGTACTAGAGATGACCACCCAGTCAGAAACCCACAGCAAAACTACAGCATGTCACCTCTGCCAACAGGAAACCAGACTGGAAGCCACAAATCCACCCACAATCAGAAAACAAAGACAAAGGGCAACAACGGCAGGCTGAAGCAAGCAAGCTTCTGATGAAAAGATCACATCATGAGAACCGTTTGACTCCTAAAGAGTACAAAATCTTCATCTAAAAGCCAGTTTGTTGTCATCAATTAAGAGGAATCCAAGACACATAGTGAGGACTTTATAGCCACTGTCCCTCACTCTCATCACACACAAGAGATCTTGGCCAGACAGAAACCTTGGTGTTGTGAGCATGTGGCTATCAGTATGAGTGGCATCTGTGACGGAAGGAGTGCAAGTCAGTGAAAAGAGATTCATTTGAAGTAAATATCACCCTCCCCTCCAATAAGATCCTGCACTGCATTTCCTTGCATTAAGTTCTTGACGTCTTTCACATTTTCCCTCTTTTAAATAGACCACCTTAGGTTCAGAGTTTTGCCCATTTAGATTAACTTTCCTGACTAAGCCATTAATCCTGACAACAACCTTAACTAAAAGGCTCTGAGTTTCAGAACGCTCCTCTCCATGGGCTTAGCTGTTCCTAGCTTAATTATCAAAAGACCATTCAGAGGACAGTTTAGCTCCCCTCCTATGTCTTATATCTGAATGACAGAATGAGTTAGCAGAAGTCAACTATATTCCTTACAAGGATGGAGTGTTATTAACACAGCAGAAGGTAACTTAAATCTTCTACTTTTTTTTTTTCCCATCTCTGACAAGCCCAGGTCTCAGCCTTGAATTCTCTCTCCATTCCAATAATTCCTACTAGTCCTTATGTACTTCTGTAACACGCAGGAGAGTGCCTTGACTCCATGTCTGCTGTACTCATCTGTGCTTTTCTCTTAAGGGCCGGAATCCAGAAGGTGTGAAATCTTGCACAGGCACTGGATTCACTGTCAAATCCTTCAGCTGCCTTCCCATTCCCACCAATGAACAGTTCAGAATTTTATACTCTGCCTTTAAAAGGCTCCATGCGCTAAACCCATACGAGGCACGGTGCACTGAACATCTCCCTCAAACGCGTTTCAAAATACTTTCCCAGTAAAACACATCATATACACACATACCCAATACCAACTAAAACAATAATGAAAAATATCATGACGCACACAATATATCACACAATAAAATGGGAAAGGTAGGCCCAAGAAAATTGACGAATATTAATTCCAAAAAGTACCATGAGGACTTCTACTTTAACCTCTCATCAGAAAAATACACACTGAGTAAACAACATAAAGATAATTTTACTGTAATTGATAAGTTCTTTAATGACTAATTTTTGAGAACTGAGCAAAGGACTAAATAGTAAGGATTGAACTATAGTCTTTTACTCCTAAATACTCTCTTTCAGCAGCAGAGTTGAAATCCAAATCCAATTTTAATAAAACCTTTGCACAGATCTTTTTTTCTGGACGGAATAAACATTTATAAGGCAAGCCCCACTCTTTCACAAGATCAGAGTTTTAAGGAGCATGGAAAAAGCCCTTACTTAATAAACTATTAAATTAAGCAGCTCAAAAGGAACGGAATAAAATATTGAGAGAGATTTAAAAAAGGCAGGGTGTTAGAGGAGCATTCTGATGGGATGTTCTCAGCCCATTATTGGGCCACACCAAACACACATTTCCCATCAGTGCTCCCACTCCAAGAAATAACAAAAGCACTTTTTGTTCAAGATCAAATGTTAAGCCTATCCATAGCTATACATATTCCAACTAAAAAATCCCAGAAAAAATAACAGACGTTTCAAATGACAGCTTTATGAATCTCTGCAGCCATTTTTAACAGATGATTTCCATCCTCAAAAACTTACAGTCAGGCTCATCTAATTTGCCATCACGCATCACAAGCCCAATGCTTGTGCTCCAGACGCTCAAAGAAGCCTACCTTTTGACAGCACAGTCTTGGATAGGGTAGAATATAAACAGACGTTCTACCATGATAAGCTTGATATACGAACAAAACTAAGTTTCTACCCTAATACAATTGTATGATACAGCAGCACTCTGCAAATAAACAAGTAATATCTGACCTTTGGCTGCATGATTATCACACATTTGATTAACTGGTTTACTGTAAGAATTGTTTATAAATCAATTAATGAATTACTGAGTTCTGATAATTCACTTTTTTGATCACACATCAGTATTTTATTAGCTTGTACCGAAGCAGATGAAGAGGGAAAAGCTTAGAGTTTTACTTTCTCTAAATATAAAAAGTGTGTCTGTGTGGATAAATATACAAACATATATAAAAAGTAATACACTAATTATTGCATTACTTTACTTTTCACACGCTACTTACATTCCTAATGTTACACTTCACTTTTTCTGTAAAAACCCTGGGTGAATGAGAAGAAATTAAGACCATCCTTACCTTAATGTTGCAAGCTTGTTCCATCAGTCTTCTGGCGTTCTCTTCAGCTCTGTACCTCTTGGGCAACTGAACCCTGAAGAACTTTAAAGCTCCTTCAAAATCAGCTTGTAGAAGGTCCTCTTTTGAGGTCTGCAATTCAACACAGGGGAACTACTGTAAACACTGAGAACATGCAGTCATGCTCTTTTACTGCATTTGTCATTTACTGAATGTATTCCAAACCACCACTATTCACATTAGCTCAAAAACATCCTCCTTGAAATCAGCTCTCTAACCCCTATCTCATAAAACAAAACAGAGGCTGAAGCATATCTAAGGAATCCCAGGCAGAACAGCACAATCAGAGGACTGTAACAGATTAATGTATTTTATCCTTCTATACCTGCAGGGTAAGAAAGGAATTCTGGCTCAGCCTGTCAAGATGTCACTCAAGTGAGGAGAAAACCAAAACCCAAGCAAACAACAAAAACCTAGGAGAATTTATAATATTTTCTAGAGAGGTTGTGAATTAGACCATTGCTGATTCTCATAATGCTGCCCTAAAAAGACAATGTATATATGGATATATATGGTTGCAGACATGAACAGCAGAAGCAGAAATGCATATGACTCATAAGAGGCATCAGCAAGTCAATGTGCAGAAGTCTGTGACACAATTTCTCAAAGAACACTGTGCCAGAAAATGTTTTACATGCTTATTTCTACATCTCTCATAATACTGTACCTCTCAGCGTGGTATCAAGCCTAACAGGTCAGAAAATGTTAAACATTCAACATTAATCCAGTTCTGCTACTGACGGAGTAATATGATTCACGGGGACAAATGTATTCATGTTCAGATTTACCAAGAGCTACGCCAAGAGATTTAGCAGATATGAAATATGAAGCCTTGGGACAGCTCTTTTAAAAGGTTCGCAGAAACTGAATGTCCAGGCAAGATATTTAGGATGTCATCTCAAAAATGTGAATGTCAAGATCTTTAACCCAGAAAGAGTGAACAAACTCTTGTCAACTAGTACCAACTAGTATCATGGAGACTGGCGCTGCGTAGCACAGTATTACTACAAATGCCTCAGGAGCAGCACAGGCACCTTTCGTTAATTGCTGAATTAACGGCTCAAGTATCACTGCCAACATTTTAATGTGTGCATCCTCCACTTTCTCATGAGTAGCACCATTTGGGGTTTTTTTGCCACGTTACACGCAGTAGGTATATTACACACACATAGTTTCGAAATTTGATTCTTAACTATATTCTCATCCACTCAAAATCCTTTGCTCACCTCCAATTTCTGACAACTTCTTTCCATAAAACACACATCAGCCAAACACAAGAGATTTGGCTCTACACAGGGAGAACTGGTAGAAACTGTGCAGCCTTTGACATGCAAGATGTGAGGCTTGATGGTACCATTATTCCTTCGGTGTTAAATTTGTTTTAAATAAATAAAAATAAATACAATTATCACTACAATGCAGAGAAAATTTTACTTTTACTTACAAATCCTCCCTATGCACCCTACAAACTAGCATCACTAGCTCATTTACATGAAAATACTTATGTCTGCTATGTAAAAGCCCTTCTTAAAAGTACAAAAGCAAAAAGTTTCCCAAAGCAAACTGAACTTCAGCATGGTGCTGCAGATACGTAACAGTAATACTCAAATCTAGCTTACCATATTCCACATTTCTGCTGAAAATGCTAGAGCTGCCTATCCAGAGTGTCTATCAAAAATAGCAATTTATGCAAGCTTTCGTTTAGTGGGGGAGCAAAGAAGGGTTTTTGAAGGGATTTTAAGTAAGTTATGCACCAAACTTGGAACAGCAACAGAATTAAGGGGGTATTTTTTATGGTTATCCAGTATCTCTGATAGCAGAGAGCATGCACTGACATCAGAGGCGTACCACCCAGACACTGCTCTGTGCCCAATCTTTCACTTTGGGAACAGGCATAGCAACATGCACTTTGATTTCCTCAATCAAGAGCCTACAAGGACAAAATCTAGGCTCTACATGTTTACCTATCACCCTATGGATTTTTGGAGATTAGTATACTGTATACCCTAATGGGCACACTGTCGTAGTTTTTGCTACATTTATCACAAGGAAAGAGTGAGAAAACTCCCAATACAACTGGAGTAGCTTCAGTGGATCTGTTTCCCCATGACTGCAGCATTTTTAAGGCAGACAAATTTCCGTCATCAAAATCCTCAGAGTTCTCTCAAGATCTATTTGATCCTCCCTTCATTCACAGCCAAGGAAGCTGCTGGGTCATCACTGCAGGGACACAAGAAAAGCTGCCTTCAAGATGCTGATGAGAAATGTTCAGCTTTACAAACTATCAGATCTGATTCCATCCACAAAAATTTGGCAGGAGGACCATTTGGCTGAGACTCAATCAGACAAGACCGATGTAGTGTTGACAGAAAGCTGGTGCAGCTGGGTATCTAACAAATCAGACCCACTCCTGAATGCGGCTATGGCCAATGCATCCAATTCCTCTTTCTCACCGCCTGTTTCTCCTGGACAAGTTTTACTGAGGTTATACATGCTTTTGCCACGCTTGAGACTAGATCGCCATTTCAAATCCATGATGGACCGTATCTGAGATTACCTGCAAGTTGTAGAGCGTGGTGGGAGCAGCCTGTCACACAGGCAGCACGCAGTATCACTGCCAAAACCCACGCTGGCAACCAAGCTGCTCCTGGGCAAAGCTCAGCAGGGTAATGTTGATCAAAAAGCAGTAAATGGTTTGATAACCAGCTTACTTGAAAGCAATTTCTCCTCTTCCCTCTCAGTGACGCTGACAGCTGTGATCACTGTACAATTCAAATAGATTTCCCTATTACATTGCGAATTTGCCTTCTTTGGAGACAAGCTCTCCTGCATTTCCAGTCCGCTCCTCTTTCTCACACTGTGGCAGCCTCTCCTATCCTCCGAAACCCAACGCCAAACACAACGCTGACCCCAGGTGTACAGGGGCATCAGCCAACCTGTAAAACCCATTTTGCTGCTGTTGTTGGTTTTTTTGCACAGAAGGTGCTCAGCTACAGCAGTGCTGAAAGCGGGGGCAATCTCCAAGAGGGGCTGACTGGTACGTGCTTCCAACAGAGTAGGAGGCTGTTTTCAATTAAGACTTCTGGACGGTTGCTCCCAGCAGAAAACAAACATCAAACACACTTTTTGCCAAAGTTTTAGCATTTTATTAGGAGCTGAGCTATCTTAATTTGAAGCATGTATTCTTCCTAGAGGTCCTGACTAGACATTTTAATTTTGTATTTAATTTTTTTTTTCTTAAATTAATGTAATGCATTGAGAGTTTTGCAAATTTTTCATAGAAATCTGAGGAGAAAAAACCTTAAAAAAAGGTAATAATGAAATTTCAAAAAGGTTAAAAAGGTAAAATGAAATTAAAAAAAGGTAACAATGAAATTACCCTGACAAACTTCAGAAAAGCAGATGCACCTACCCTTTACATCCATAGCACTTCCTTTAAAAATAAAAGACAGAGGCAAATATGTCAGAAAAACAGCAATTCCATGTAAAACGTTTAAAGTCAGATTTAATTCTCCTAGGCTTCTGCTTGAATCACATTATTATGACTATTTTAACAGCCCCCAAACAAATCTCTCTTATAAAATTCTAACTATTGACGATTTTGAAGGTCTCAACCCTGAAAAATTTTTAGTCAATGAAAATCCCATACGAATAATGGTGACTCAGGGAAGTAAGAACTTATGTGACAGAGTTTGCTGAACTAAGTTATGAAAAATTACAAACCATCACGTTGTGTAGTTTGATAAAATGATTGGTAGACCCTATACTGCTCAGCTTTTTCTACTTTGCTGAGTATTTTAATTTCATTAAAATAATTTCTTGATCAAAAAAATCAGTTTCACTATTAAAAATCACAAAAAATCAAAGCATCATTTTGAGAGCAATGACAACTGGGTTGTGCACTTTGTGTATGTTCTGCACACTAACCTCTTGAGGTACTGATTAAAAACAGGAAGCAACACAAAACCACTGTGTGTGTATATATATATGCAGTACAAAAAAAAAAAAGTTAGCATCCTAAGATTCACATTTCATGACATTTTGTGATTTTAATCAATAAATCATGAAGACATTTCAGGAACTTTTTGGCAGCTGTTTGACAGGCAGAGATTTGTAAATTCATTGGTTCACGTCACTCAGCTTGTAGAACTCATGAACAGCTTATTTCACTACACCATCTGTAACTTTCATGAACTAATAATTAAATTTTGGCAAGTGCATTGCATTTTTGTGCACCTGGGGACTTCAGGGCATTTTTTATTAGACGTAAATTTAACATAATCATTTTTGGTTAAAATACATTTTTAAAACCAGGCAAAAGAGGAAACTCACTGAGAACTATGACCATAACATTAAGTTTAAAAGTCTCAGCTTGCCTTTTAGGGTTTGGCTAAATATGCCCTCAAATGTCCTTCTCACATCGCTTAAGTATTTCAATATATTCATAAAATTATCTTCTATGGATTAATTGAAACCAAGGGAAAGCACTTTCCCAGAAGTATTAGGTAAGCTTTCAAATGTAAAGGTAAAGTTCTGGAAAATTGCAGATGTTTCAAATCAGGAATGGAATTAGAGAGATTTAGATGATGTTAATTTTGATTTTGTTTTTCTTTAAATAAATAATGTTACTATTACTTTCCCCAAAATATTTAGGAAAACGTGAATAAGACAAACGACAAAGCCTTCACTTTTTTCTTTAATTTAATTTCTCTGTCTTCAATTATTAATTCTGCAGTCTCATTTATTACCGACTACATCAACTAAAACTCCTATTCCCACCTGGGAACTAATACAAGAAATTTTGGATCAACTGCACTACAGTTCCTTAATTTAATTCTTCCTCCTTCAAACAAACAGGTAAAAATTACTAATTTCCATAGAATTCTGTGTACACAGTATATATATTTAGAATTTCTCTAGAATGTCAGTGAGCATAAACTGCCTGTTTTACACCTTCACACACATCAGGAACAAGACCAAGTTAAAGGCTGAAAAGAATCTGACCATACTCTACTCCACTGTTTAATTTGCTACTGGTAAATTCAAAATGTTTACAAGTACCCCCACGCTAA